CCCCCCCCAAAAAAAATTCTGCAGACGCCACTGCCATGATGGCAGAGGTGTCTTGTTGCACAGACYTGATAAAATCTGTTGGAAGTACATGATGCTTATTAGCTGTTAGCTGATGCAACAGCTGCTAGCATAAACCTTATAGCTCTTTTCAGTGAAAATTACTTGTAAAAATATGAAATGTTATATATTAAAATTTATTTGTGGCTCAAAAACTGGTAAGAAAAGCAAAAAGCAGATGTCTGGAGAAAATCTGATGACATAAAAAAATAAAACAAAAAGATTGCGCGCGTCAACGCTAGCCGCAATCTTGAAAAGCAAACATTAGCTTCAGTCTCAGCAGAGTAAACATTTAAAAATAACAATTAATCATTTCAAATTATTATTTTTGTTTTTAAGCTTTTGCCCACCAAGATGGCAGTGATGTCTTGTTGCAGACACCAGCTGACATTGATTGAAAATACTTATTGCTCATTAGCTGTTAGCTGCTAACACAGCAGCTAGCATTAGCCTTCTAGATTCTTTCAGAGCACAAAGTGCTTTATTAAAGAGGTATTTGTGGCATGTTTTGTGTGTTTTTGTCCACCTAATGCAGCAAAATAAGTTGAGAGTTGATATGTGAGAATAAAACCAGGTGTGACGGACCGTGTGTTCTCTCAGGTAAAGTCAGGGTCCTGTTGCAAATTTTCAGTGAGACTTTAAAGGGCGCGTGGCATCAGTTTTTTTGTAATAAACATGAATGTATTTTTGGAAAGATAACATTCATACCATGTTGCAAAACAAATTTCACGCCGCTGAGATGAACAGTTGTTGAGATATTGGCGTGTGAAGAAACAGGAAGTGATGTCAGAGGGGACTGTCTGCATGTGAACAGAGCGTTGTTACAACACAGACTGAAGAGAAGAATCTGATGTTTCTTTACATTATTTTGAGTTTCTATCAAAGAGAGACAAGAGTTAAAGTTTAAATAATTTTGTTTTAATAAACAAAAACCAGAGTTTATTTTATTAATAAGTTCCCCTTTGATGTCACTTCCTGTTTCACTTCGGCAGAGCCAAATAAAAAAAATAGGCCAGTTATGTGAGAACCAGAGTTTATTTTATTAATAAGTTCCCCTTTGATGTCACTTCCTGTTTCACTATGGCTGAGCCAAGTTCAAAAGAAAATAGACCAGTTATGTGACAAAACGGGTAAAATAATCTGTATTATGCCAATTTTCTTAAGTATAAAGATGTTTTCTTTGTGTATTTGAAGGATAGGCGCGTCGCAGGAACTTTAATCTGTTTTTATCAGGAAACAGAGAAAATGATTAAAAATATTAATGGTGCAGGATTCAGGCTCAGACCAGCAGATCTACATCAGGCTTCAGTTTTGGTGCCTGCAGCCGTGAAGACGAAGCATCATCATCATCATCATCATCATCATCATCATCATCATCATCCTCCGCTCTGGGTTTGGGTTTTCCCAGACGGTTTCCCTCTCCTCTCTGACTGGCGTCAGAACCGTCTGACATTTGGACCCGGGCTATTTAAAGCAGCAAGATCAGGGTTTAGAATCATTGTTGTGTACGTGTGTGTGTCAGTGTGTGCGTTGTTGTCTCATTGTGGCCGTGTGTTTACGTCTTTTGGCTGTAGAGCCAAGCCTGAAATTCACTTTGGGAGTTTTTTTTACTTACTCTCAAATGTATGTGTGTGTGTTTGTGTGTGTGTGTATGTGTGTGTGTATGTGTGTGTGCGTGGACTGATGAAACTCATGAGTCACACTACGTTTGTGTGTTTTTGTTTCCAAGGACAGTTTTAAAAAGAAAAGGCGGGAGAGGAGTTGGAGGTCTGACCTTTGAGTCTGGGATTAGATCTGGATCCAGGATCAGGTTCTGGTCTGGATCAGGTTCTGGTTTCGGGGACCTGGGAGTGTTTGGGTCTGAGGCGTGGGCTCAGACTCCTGCAGCTCTCGTTGTTGTGGAGCTTCTTGTTGGATGAGCTGTTCTTTGCACGCTATTTTTACATTCTTTCCTCCCACTGCTGCTCGTCATGTACATTTCACAACATGCTGTGTGTGTCTGTGTGTGTCTGTGTGTGTCTGTGTGTGTCTGTGTGTGTCTGTGTGTAAGATTAGAACCATTTATCTCTCCTGCATACCAACCGTTTGTAGACAATCACACAATCCATCAGACTATAAAGGATGAAAATCTTAGAGCTTAACATGTTTTAATTGTCGCCTTTTGAAAGAAGTTCATGAACTTCTTTCAAAATAAAAGCCTGAACCAGAAAAGGTTGGGAGACGTTACAAACAGGTTTCGCTGCAGACGACTCAAGTTGTTTCATGTTTTATTTTTATCTGATCAGCTTGATGTCAGAGGTGAAATTATCAACCTGGATTGCGCTGACGTCAGCTTCACAGTTTCTGGAATGCAGCCCGTCTGACACGAGGAGCTGCGGGAAAAAATAATTAAAAGATTTATTTAAAGAAGCAGAAAGGCTGATGCTGACGTGACGTCGCTGCTCCAACACTTTCTGCTCTTGACTTACCTTCAAGTGCCTGTGACATGCCTGTCCTTCAAACACAAAAAGTCAAAGAAAACATCCTTATTCTTAAGAAAATTGGCATAGTACACATGATTTTACACATTTTGTCTCATAACTGGCCTRTTTTCTTTAGGATTTGGCTCAAACAAAGTGAAACAGGAAGTGACATCAAAACTCTTTAATAAAATAAAACAAAACAATTTAAACTTTAACTCTTCCTCTCTCTTTAATAGAAACTCTAAATAATGTAAAGAAACATCAGATTTTTCTCTACAGTCTGTTGTTAGCTGCTGTAACAACACTCTGTTTACATGCAGACATTCCCCTCTGACATCACTTCCTGTTTCTTCACATGCAAATATCTCAACAACCGTTCATCTCAGCGGCGTGAAATTTGTTTTGCAATATTTTCTCAATGTTATCTTTCCAAAAACACATTCATGTTTATTACAAAAATTTGATGTCACAGGCCCTTTAAAGTCCTGCAGAAACCTGCCGACCCATCGTTCATCCAAACATCTAAAACCTGCAGGATGGTGGACCCCCAGGATCAGGATTCGGCACCCCTGATTTATGGCATTAAACTAACGAGACTTTAGCTGATTTAACTGTAGTTTAAGAAAAGAATGGAGGGAAACAGATTCTGAAAACAAAACTGGACAAACGTGAGACTGAACTCAGAGTCAAAACAAAAAGGAGTTCTGCAGATTGTTTTGGCTGGGGGTCTGCTGTGATGTGCAGCGGTTTGGACCCCCACCCTCAGGAATGGCAGCAGCGTGCAGGGAGGGGTCTGTGGTGGTCCTGGTTTTGGGAGCTGCGGGGAGGACAGCGTGCTGAGACGGGCGGGGGCTGCTGCGGTGACGTTCAGAGGCTGTTTACGGTTATTTTTAGTCGTGGCTCCGTTTTAACGTCCAGCCAGCAGAGAGGAGCTGGATCTGTGGCGCCCTGAAGGGTCCAGACAGGAAGTGACGGTTGGCTGATGAGTCAGTGATGGTGGGCTGGGTGGGCTCAGGCCTAAAATGAGGCAATCCTGCCCTGAATCTCCTGAGTGGAGCTCTGCACGGTCTGACCTTCAGGGTGCATCTGCTGCCTCACTTTCTGTTTTATTTTGTAGTAAATATTTTGATTTGTTGTGTTCTGGTCACACCTGCTTTTAATTTCCTGATCATTGCGTTCAGCACGTACCTGTGATGTGAGGGTCAGGTGTGTACCTGTGAGGTTAGGGTCAGGTGTGTACCTGTGAGGTTAGACTCAGGTGTGTACCTGTGAGGTTAGGGTTAAGATGATCTGTAAATGAATGGAAGTCAATGTAAAGTCCCCATGAGGATAGAACAGCAGACATGTGTGTGTCTGTTGTGTCAGACAGCTGGTGGAAATGCAGACCACACACAGTTGTGTTTACAGACTTTAATTATTTCAATATTGACCTTTAAGATAAATCATTCAGGGGTTTCGACGTAAACAATGACACAAGCGTTTTGCATAAAAACAGATTTTATGAATAAATAAATCAGCTGCAGGCGTCAGTTTGAGCAACAAAACTCTGAGGACTCCATGTTTTGTGCGTTTTATTTAAAACATGCACAAAACATCGAGTCCTCAGGACTTCACTGTTGTTTACCTTCCTGTGTTTCACCAACAACATGTTTTCTTTTGAATGAAAACCTGCAGAGTAAAAACCTCCTGCAGGCTCTGGTCCTGCTGGCTCTGGTCCTGCAGGCTCTGGTCCTGCAGGCTCTGGCCCTGCAGGCTCTGGTCCTGCAGGCGTGACGGCACCTGTGACTCAGGCCTCCTGAATGTCTTCAGGCTCCCGGGCCTCGGCCTGGTTCTGTTTGGAGCCTCAGATCCTCCGACATGACAAATACCTGCTGCCGTATTTTTAGCCTGAACAGACGTGCCTTTTCTATTTTTATCTGGGCGCCGCGTCAGCGCCGCGCTGTTGTTTTCTGCTGCAGCTGCTGCTGCTGCGCCCAAGGACGAGCGTCCCTGCGTTGTTGATACAAACACATCGATGGTGAGGTACGACCTGTGCAAAAGACTTCAGCCGCCCACCCACAGTGCAGTTTCCAAACTCTGACTTTTGACCCAAAAAACCTGCTGAACCAGTGGGTTTTTAGATTAGATTAGATTAGATTAGATTAGATTAGATTAGATTAGATTAGATTAGATTAGACCAGGGGCTCTGCAACCTTTACGATCAAAAGAGCCATTTCTGCTACTCGACGCACTAAAAAAATGTGTCTGGAGCCGCAAAACAGCTACAACTGTGATTATCAACTGGTGGTCCGTGGGCCTTTTCAAGGCCTTTTCAGGAATCTTTTTGGCCAGTGGAGGTGACATTATAAAGCTAAAAAAATAATGTGAATTTTATTATTTATCATTATTTTTACCCATCAGGACAAATGAAAAGTCTATATTCATGTAAACGAGAAAATACTGTGTATAGTTTATACCAAATTTCAAAAAAGCAAGTACAACTGAACGATTCAGACATGTTTTTTTCTAATTCTTATTGTTATGTTGTCTTCAAATTATTTAAAGGTAATTCTGATGGATTTGAGAAAAAGATCATTGAAAGAAGTTGGATTATTTAAGTGAACAACAGGCCAGCATGAGCTAATCAACATGTTTTACTTTTTGTATTAGTAGTATTAATCACATATTTGCGTACACACAATTTCTGTTGTGAGTATAAAAAACAAAACAAAACAAAAAATTATAATTTCATTTTTTTGGCCTCTCTTCAAAGAGACACTGCAGAAGGACCAAAGAGCCAGATGCGGCCCGAGAGCCGCAGGTTGCAGACCCCTGGATTAGACCTTTATTGTCATCGTACAGCGCACAATGAAACTACAGTTCAGAAGAAGACAAACACAACAAACATGGGAGAACAGGTGCTCCGGGTCATGCAGCCACAGACCTGCACAGGGTTTAATGTTTTTAAAAACTGCAGATGTTTGCATCGTTTGTGTCACTTGTTGTTATTTTTAGAACTAAAATATGAAACTGGTGCAACTTTAATTCCTGCTGACTCAGTGCCACCGTTCTTAATATTTTCACGCTTTTAAACAAATATTATTTTAAATGTAGTATAGTTTTTTACAGAAACAAGAAGTTTTAATAATAATAATAATAATAGTTTTTGTTTGGTTTTAGTAAAGAAAGAAACTCTTAAAAGTGCTGAGTCATGCTTGTTTGTTTTGTGTTCCTCCAGCAGGTTCACAGTCACAGCTGGACRACGAGTTGGAGGACGGTCTGGACCAGTTGGAAACCGGTCCTGGTCCAGGGTCGGTGAGAGCCGGCCTCGTGTCCCACAGAGCTGCAGAGGAAACTGAGGAGCAGTTTGGGAGTGAAAGTTTCCCTCTGTGGTTTTAGAACCAGATGTTCCATCTGAACCGGACCAGGTCTGGATTTTACAGATTCTGTTAAAGGTGCAGTATGTAACTTTTCTAAAAAATATATTTTTAGCATATTTGTTCACTC